AAACGGGCCAAACGGTCTTTTTGTATGAACCGGCCCGGGACCGGGCCGACGAATTCATGATCCCGGGCTAAATGGGCCGGGCTCGCGGGTGAAGTGGGCCCAACGGCTAATTTTTTTTTTTTTTGAATTAAATAGAAATTAGAGACAAAAAGATGTTAAAAAAAATATTGGCGTTGTAAATTTTATTATAGAATTGTGACCTAAATTTTTTTATTCAAATTTAAAGACAAAAAAATTTTAAAGTGATATTCAAAGAACTTGTAATTTTATTATAGCATTAAAAAACATGACAATATATTTCTTAGTCTTCCTCCCCCCTATGGGATGAGCATAATAAGGTGCTAATACCACCATTGAGAAGATAAAGAAACTAATTAAGATGTGCCAAAATACAAGTTACATAATACATACTAATTTTTTCATACAAATTATATGGTATCTCTTACAAACTTCATAAATCTTTCAAGGTCCGAAGGAATTTCCGTTGGTGGTGGCGGAAAAGTAGCTTGGTCATCACCGCTTCCGGGCGAAGCAGCATCCTCCGCAAGTTCAGCTAGCATTTCTTCGTAAGCTTCGTCTTCCTCTGGTTGTGATTCAGCAAGTCCAAAATTTCTTCTTTTCGAACGGATTCAATATCTTAAAAGTACTGATTTTTCCAAGCTCTCCATTATAGACGCTCTATAATCACCGAGTTGAAATCTTGCTTGACTGAAAGCGCTCTCCGATGCCACTGTTGAAGCTTGAATAGTTATAATATCTCGGGTCATCCTTGAAAGAACCGGAAAGTATTTTTCTTTATCCTTCCAGCATTCCAAAAGATTAAAGGAGCCGTCAGGATTCACTTAATCAATTCCCTGCGACAAATAAGTTTTAAGCTCATTTAGTTATGAAAAATCACTACTACTAGAACCTTCAGAACCTAAGTGCTCGTACTCCCGCAGTTCTTGTAGATGACTGAGAATCAGAAGAAGAAGGAGTTGGATCATTTGGTCTAGTATGATTTCATGCAACTTGATAAGCATTATAAATAGTTTGAGCATTTATTTTAACTGAGGCTATTGCTTTCGGAAGTTGAGACAACTCATTTGCTTCAACTGCTAAACCATTATAAACAGTTTCACACCAAAATTGAGGACCTCCTAATTTCATACAAGGATTTAACAAAGCAGCAACACCATAGATAGGGGGAAAGGAAAAAAATATTTTTTAAATTTCCCCACCCTTTAAAAAATGAGCAAACAAATTAGCAAGTTTTGCAATATAAACTAAACAGTTAGAAATAGTAGGATAATATTGCCCAAAAATTTCATTTGTAGCAATATGAAATTTTTCTAAAAAAAATCAACAAGAATTTTAACATTAGCCCAATCCCCATTCGTAAGGTGCTCATTATCATCACTTACATGTGCATTAAATGTTGAGTTTATGGGGTTTCTATATTCATATGCAACAACCAAAGTTTCGTACATGTAATTCCATTTAGTTGGACAAGGTTTAGGAACCTTTCTTTCTCATAGGTCACAATCATCACATCTTTTAAAATATTCTCTAAGAGGTTTGAATAAAAAAGCCAGTTAAGAGCCATTTTAACCTTTTTAATTTTAATATTTAAAATTCCCATATCACCACCCACAATTAAATGATAAATATGACAAATATATCTAACATGAAAAATGTTACTAGAAGCAGGATTTAGCGTAGTGGTAAGCAAGGCTATAGCATTTGTATTACTAGTAATATTATCCATTGAAACTGACATTATTTTATAACTAATGCAAAAATATCTACAAATATCCGTAACTGTGCTAGCAATAAACTGCACTGTATGACGTGAATTAATTATTCTATAAGCAATAATACGCCTTTGCATTATCCAATCCAATGACTGGTAACAGTAAGGTAATCACAGTCGTAGCCACTTCTACCAATATCAGTTGTAATAGCAACACAATAATTTATATAAGTAAATAAATAACGCAAATATTGTTCATATTCATGTTTATATTTATAAATATCTCTCTTTATGGTTGTGCAAAGAAAACCTTTATAAATAGGATTAAAAAAATTTCTAATATAATGCACAAAGTTAGGGTCAGAAGAAAAACTATAGGGTAAGCACATAATAGTTACCATTTTTGCCAATTTATCCCAATCTTCTTTTGGATCATAATATAAAATATCACCCGTAACAGTGTTAATTCCCGATTTAAATTGATTTGAACCGGTACTAGGGTCAGCCTGACTTGGAGTAGGTACACTTTTCCCCTCAGCCAAAGCTTTCAGACGAAGATATCTGACTCTATCTTGAGGGTATTTTTTTATGTGCCTAACCAAAGTCCCCCCCCCCCCCCCCACGCGATCCAAAATATTTAAAAGCTAACTCCGTACCACAAGTTTTACACTTAGCCTTATTTACTGGAATTAGTTGAGTAAAAAATGGCCAAACAAGAGATGCTTCCGTCCGTTTGGTAGGTTGTCTAGAAAAAGTAGGGGCAGTAACAGGAGTATCAGATGGGGCATCATTTGGATTAGCAGGGTTATCACTAGTTGGGTTGACATCAGGAGCAGGACTAGTGAGTCTATCATCATCCGATTGAGTTTCATCAAAATCAATTTCCTCATCATCATTTTCATCAATAGTTGGATTAGAATAAAGAGCATTTATTAATTCATAGTCTAATTGTTCACCCGCTGCAATATTATGGCAAAATTGACTCTCAGTAAATTGTAATAAACTATTATCGCTATCAAGAATAGCAGGTGTAGGACGGATATGAGATTTGGTTCGGAGAGCCGGGGGCAAAGGAGGAGGAACAACATGACCACTAGATTCGCCACTCTTGAATTTTCCCTTATTTTTACGAAAAAGTTTTTTTAAGGAAGCCATCTTAATTAATCAAGTAATAGAAAATAAATAAAACAAACAAAACGATAATATTAAAACTTAAGAGTTGGAATGAGTTCACCGAATTGACGAACAACTTGTTGAAAATTGATTATCGTTGAAGACTTGAATACTTCAATTCACCAACTTCACAATTTTTTCACAAATTGTAACAACAAATTAAGCAATAGTAGCAAGTATAGAAGAAAATTAGAGAGAGATTGTGATATATTGATGATTTTGTAAGAAAAATGAAAGAATAAGGGGGTATTTATAGTTGAGAATAGGAAAAAAGTATAATTATAAAAAGTTTGGGGTTAAAATAAAGTTGGGGGGGGGGGGGGGGGGTTATATGACTATTTTGTAAATAGCCAACGACTATTTTTGACAGCCCAACAGTTGTTTTTTAAATTTTTCTAACAGCCAGATTTTTTTAAAATTTTTTTTACCGTTGGGACCGTTTGGCCCGCCAGGGACCGGTCCGGTCCTAGTCCCAAACGGTCCCGGTCCTAAACTATTGAACCGGCACACGAGACCGGACGAGGCCTACGAATACCGGTCCTGGCCAGTTTGGCCAGCGGTCCCGAGCTGGTTCCGGGCTCGGACCGGCCCACTTGCCACCCTTAAGCACGTGTTTGCATAGCTACACCTTCCGCTACTCATTCATCCCAACTATACAAGTTTCTCCCTATTTCCTTCGTTTATTTGGATATTCTGTTGAAATAATGCTTGAGTTTAGCACAAAAAATGCTGGATTTTGAATTGACACAATTCAAATTCACGAAAAAATGCTGGAGTTCACGCAAAAATTATTGAAATCATGAGAAAATGCTGGAGTTTAGAAAAAAATGCTGGAGTTTAGAAAAAAATGCTGAAGTTGATAAAAATTGCTAGAGTTCACACAAAAAATGCTGGAGTTAAACCCTGGATAAAAAGTCCCAAACAAGTAAAACAGTGGGTATGTAGTAGTGGGGGCATTCCGAGAATCGAACTCGGGACCTCTCGCACCCAAAGCGAGAATCATACCACTAGACCAAATGCCCTCATTGACGCTAGATGAGGAAACTGTTTTAATATCTAGTAATGTTCATTCTGACGTTCGTTGAAAGTTCAAAATATGTCATCAAATAGCAAACTGAAGAAGCAAAAGGAGAAAACGAGAGGAGAATGAACAATAATAAAATGTACTAAAGAAGATGATGACTTATGACTGATGAAGGAACCACGAGGAAATGTGGGTTAAAGCAGTCCGACTCTAGATTTTAGTTGGATTGCTTTTCTCCTAGTTCAGTCTAACAATATTGTGGCACAATACTTAAAGCACAATTTCCTTTGTTCTATTCATGTCTGCTCACTTCTATTATGCACAAGGGGCCACGATATATCATTTCATGTGCCGAGACAAAATCCTAGCATTCGAAAAATGCACAAACTTATGGGAATCAAAGTTTTGAAATTATTCTTGTTCTTTTACAATAATGTTCAAAATTCACTTATTTTTAGGGTCTAAATTAAAATTACAAAATTTTCCTTGTTCTTCCATATTAACGTTCAAGATCTCGCGAAACTCGACTAAACTGACGTTTATGGCTAGCTCGAGTCTGACCTTTGAAAATGTGATCGCACTGCTTTCTTGTTGAATGAAGTACTATAAGGGACGAAGAGAACTGGCAGAGGAATTTCCTCATCATGGTCTCTCTTTTATATTTTGCATATCAACGCTTCAGCTTCACTTTAGTAGCACTTGATTTTGTTGTCATGGAATATCTTATTAATCCTTTTCCATTTTTGTTGTAAGGCTTCTTATGGATTTCTCTTTGGTATTTAATAGTAAAGGCTGCTTCAAATTTGCACTTCCATTTATCTGGTGCAATATTGAGAAAAATCCCAGCACAAACTCAAAGATTTGGTGATGCAATACAGAATTGTCAACCCATGTAAAGGATGTAAGTAGAATAAAGCCATGTAATAAAATGTGCTTTAGTAGAAAGTAAAGTCCAAGCGGATCATCTTTGCTTATTGTCATTTGCCATATAGAAGTATAAGGGCTTCAATGCTTTTTGTAAGCTGGAAGTAAGGATTATGCAATAGGAAACTACAAAACAACAAAGCAAAATAAGCATGAGGAAACAGTGATCTTGGTATAATGAGGAAAGAAGCTCTACAATTCGAGATAACTTCCAATGATATTGTTATGTACAATTACAAATTTTGTAGGTATACCGTGAGATTAAGAGGCAAACACAGGAGACAAACTATACAACTCTCAAACTGTCAACCAAACTTTGTCAATCAAAGTCCTCTATACTCTTTTCAACGGGCAAGTATTTAGTAACAAAAGCTCAACCCAACAAAAACAAGAACATCAAGAACAACATGATCACCCTTACCACATTATTAATGGGTTCCTACCCATAACACGCAGTCTGCAGAGAACTCCACCAGCTACCAGAAACTGCTCGTCAGCCTCCTCCGGGTGAAAATGAGATACAAATTGCTACCATCAGAAAGACCTCAGTGCTAACAACATGCTGGGGATTATTCCATTCCCACGAACTTCTTTACCATATTTACAAGCTAACAATAACAAGTGAGTTAGCTGAGCAAACAAAAAAATCAAAATAGAAAATCCAGCAAAGCTCTAACTCATATATCTAGCACAACCTCTGTAAGTTCAATCAAGTCCGTATCATCTACACATTTTCAGGTAGAGTAACAATTAAAAATGGGAATAAGAAACAAGCAGTGACTAGGCATTCATGCAACACACGAGAGGATAAATCAATTGCTGCATTGAGACACAGTAAACTACATAGCTGAAATTCAATCAACTATGACAGAGTTAGCACTAAGTAGGTACCATACCCTCCTAATCAACTTAAAAGACGTCTACATCACATTTGCATTGACATGTACACACATTTAAAGAGATTTAAAAAACAAATAACTAAATGTGTGTGTTCGTGTACAGATGCATATCACTGCTTGTGCCTTACTCAAGATTACCCACTAAGGAAGATATGGTTTAGAAGCTTCCTCACACCTCACCGTGCCTGCCTTTAAAATCTCTCCCCAACATCAAACCCCCTCCGCTTCAAGAAAGGAAAGAAACACAAAAAGGGTCTCATTATAAAAAAGGAGTGAGAGTTCAAAAATCTCTCATGTGCCAAAATAAGTAGACAAGTAGAATGCCAAAATAAGTAGACAAGTATGTGATGCCTACAGCTTCTCATTTTCAACACATTACTGATTATTCAGATTGTATCTTTCAGAGCTAGGTGAAGCAATTTATTGACTATTTAAATTTAAACAGATGGTAAATGACAACAGTACATTGGCCAAGTGAGTGAGGTTGAAACAGAAACTATTTCTGTCAAGGGGAGATTATGCCTGGCGATAAGATAGTTCCCATCTCTGGTCCTTATGCTAAAGTCTATATCGGCATTGTTGAGAAAACAAACTTAAGTAGCGACATTTATTTTTAAGTTTGCAACATTTCATCTCAAGTAAAGTTGAAGGTTAACTGAAAATAATACAAAATGGTACCAACATTGTTCCAAGCAATGATTTCTAAAGATTGACCCAAAATGACTCCAAGCACAAAGGAAAAGGAAAAAAAAAAAAAGAAAGAAAGGAGAGGGGAAAATGACTTACCATCCTTGGGATGCTTCTCTCTTGTAGTGTTTTCATTGCAGCTTCTGCAAATGCTTGTGCAGCTTCGGCTTCAGCTGCAGCAGCCTCAGCCTTCCTGGCAGCCTCCGCAGCTTCGGCTATAGCTGTGTCTGCTTCTGCAACTGCTTGTGCAGCAGCAGCAGCTGCCTCTTGAGGTGACATATTCCTCATCTTTTCTAAATCTAAATCTATCTGAGATCTAGTTAGCATGTTTATGTCATCCTGATCAACCTTAGAACAGATCCTCTGACTGCTATCCAGTTGGGGAAGGGGGAGGTTTCTTCTTCTGTCGGAGAATGTCAATTTAGGTGCCACTTTATACTTCCGCTTCATCTGCAGAAGAACTATACTGCGAGTATTATGATCAACCATGACGAGAACCAGTAACGACCAATTATTCAAAAACTTGAACCAAAGTGCTAATTCTCACTGGCTTCACACTATAAGCTTAGGGCAAGATGTGCAATAACTAGAAAACATGAAGGACATAACTGAAAATCACCTTTATGAGTTTTCCAGTTGCAGTTAAATACTTCAGCTTTGCTGAGAGTAGCCTTTTAAAGTTTGGAGTTTCCCAGTAGTGGTCCTACAAAATGGGGGGGAAAGTAAGTATTTGAGAAAATAAACTGACATATCTAGCAATAAGTCATGATTTTGTTAGGAAGTGAATTTGCAGCAGTATTAACCTGTTTGGCTTATTTAAACTTCTTACATGACCTGATGACCTTCATCACCTTATTGTTAAGAAACAAATTTCCCAGAAAGTTCTGTGTTATCGTCAGGGTAGACGAACCAACTATTATCATGGGAGACCTGATTAGGAAAGCCCTTTTTGGGAATGGGGACCATCTCATAATATAGGAAATTAAGAAAATACATAAAATAATGTTAATTTAGCACAATATAGCACTATCAGGTTCATCTTACAGTTGGCCAATGTACCATTCCATATATATCAAAATGTATACATACTCTAGGACCCATCTATGTGGTATTCTGCAAGTCCACTTCAAATGCAGTTGACTCGTTAATCACATTAAGGTTTGGTTATACTGACTCCAAGAATACCTAAAAGAAAATATGCAAGAATCACCAAACACCATCCAGATTGTTAGAAATGACAAATCAGCAAAACAAGAAGCAAAACTCCAAAATCAAAGTACATACACTACAGGTCCTTCAAAATCAATAAGAAAGCCGTGAATGGTAATTAATGAAATACTTCTCCAAATTTTGCATATTTGGTTCTCCCATATGAAGCTCAATAAGAAGACAAGTACCTCTATGTACGTAGAAATGGTCGCCTGGTAGGAACCACCTGGCTCATTCAAGTTGCTTATAGCGTCCATTATAAGATTATCCAACCTATAACAATAACAAATGAGCAGGACTTAGAGAAGATTATTCCTCCAAAGTAAACATATAAATAAAATAAGAATAACATGAAATGCCACTAATGCTAGTTTATAATTGTTATACTGACTAAGTAAACAGAAAGTTGATGAACTTTTGATAAACATCCATTCTTTTTAGGCACGAGGTCTAGGGAACAATCTTCAGAACGCCGAATAACTAGCTAAACTTATGCCTGTAACCACATTTTGAGAAAGCGAAATTCTTGAAACCAAGACAATAGGGGAAAAACCAACATCTAATGATATCAATAAACACAACGAAATCCGCAAGATTACAACATGAGGGTCGTGCTGTAACAACTAAGAAGCACGAACAGGTATAACCTTAGGATAGATCTTCTTGAACCACCATGCTGCGGAGAGCCTCTAGAAGTTGTGGCTGGCCTTGCTTCAGGAATTTCCGCATCACTGTCAGCTGCCGAGGTAACAGCCGCAGAACTCTCATCCTGCATAGGGGCCTGAATCATCCTTTTGAGGGCCAACTTTGCTTTCTCTCGAGAACCCCAGCCGTTTGCCATCACAGTCATATTTCTCCACTTGTCCTATACATCATCTCAAAGATACATCATTGTGAAAAAGACTTCAGCTCAAATAAGTAGCTATAGAAAATTGAATATACTGGACAACTATCATCTGACTCTTGAAACATCTAAACTTCCTCTCCACTGAATAAAATTAATTAACAAATAAAAGAATAAAGCGAAACTCTACCTTGAGATCTACATTTGAACGCAGATACAACACTCCACTAAATTCTGGATCCTTAAGAATTGTACGCCATTTGCCTGGCCCATATTTAAGGACCCCAGCTCTAAGAGCAACTTCTTCTTCAGGAGTCCACTTCAGCTTAGGTGCACCCATCAAAGCATTAAGGAAATGAAGTTCCCAGAACAAACCTTATCAGAAAACCAATAGTGTGTGTCAAACCAAACACCCGACGAAGATAACTGGGACAACATATACGGATGATGATGGGTGCTATAAAACTGAAAAGTTACATAAACTTCTATAATAAACAATAAGTCCATAAAAAATGATTTGAAGAAACAGCAGATAAAATATATAAATTAATATTAACCTTATAAACATCATATTACGATAAGAAGTGCATTCATCGCTGAGACAAAAAAGAAAACCATAAAACAACCATAAACTACATGAATTGGTGTTGGAAAAATCGCATAGCATATTTGTTCACATCTACTAAACAGATATAAACAGATCTCCCAACTCCATGGATGAAGCTACCACCACGAGGCATAATCAGTACTATCAGGAAGAAATGCAGATGTGTGATACTATGTGCAGTATCACAGAAACAAAATCTTGGAAGACACACGGAAATACTTCTTCAAAAAATGCAAAAAGAAATCCATACAATAATTATCTATCTTCTAAAACACATTCCAAATGATTTGCGAACATTTATTTTTCAGTATTGATTACTGCATTTCTCTGAGTACTTCAATCTGATTATTTTATATTTGGATTTATCAAATCTAAAAAAAGGGCTTTAAACAACAACAATGCACAAAAAACAAAACATTCATTCATAGATAAAATCATTTAGAGCCAAAAGGAAAGGAAATTAAGTAACTAGAGAGAAAGCGTCTCAAAGTAATGCTAGAACAGCTGTTTAAGAGTATAATAAGCTTAAGATCATACATTCTTCACATTAAGAGCTACGCTATTTTCCTTAACTTTCAACATGCTAGACACAGGAAATGTGTTTGGTATGAGGGAAAATGACTTCCAAGAAAATGTTTCCATGGAAAAGTCATTTTTTAGTGTTAGGTATGACTGAAGTGATTTTCCATGGAAAACGTTTTCCATCAAAAGGAGGAAAATGACTTCCCTTACTTATGAGCGAAAATCATTTTCCTTACAACTACCTTAACTTTAACTTGGTATTACTTGCTTCAACTAACATTTAAACATTATTATTAATATCTAATACTCAAAAGTTTCATCAGAACACTCTCCAACCTATTTATATATATTAAAAAGCCAAATTTCCACTCAACAAACCAAACAACAGAAAACATTTTCCAAGAAAATATTTTCTATGGAAGATGAATTCAGTCAAACCAAACACACCCACAATTCAAGAAATCAAAAGCATCACATACGGTTTTAGAAAACATATTTTGCGTACAAATCAAACCAAGGAAAATTCAGTTGAAATTGAAAGGTGACGAGAGTTTTATGTAATCGGACCAAAATGATTCTGAGTACTTTTGTCGAGATCATAAGAAAATTGTGCAAATTTTAATTTTGCAAGCTAAATAATTTCAGAAACCAAAAACAACCAAGGCAGATTTTTCTCGTGCTTTCAAAAAAAAAAAAAAAAAAGCACACACAAATTTCTTCCCTAAAATTGCTTCCAAATGCTAAACCTAAACCAAATCCAAACGCCACCTGAACTACTAGTCACAACAGCAAATCCAAATAAATTTCAACAAAATTATAGCTCATGATAGATAATTAATCGAGTAATTCGCACAGCGTAAAGGACTGAATCCCCTATAGACATCAACCAAACTATGCAAAATCAGAAATCGAAACCCTAATTTCGTCCAATAAATGAGATTAAAATTCAATTGACGAAAAAGTACCGGAAATTGAGGGTGTAAAAGAGCAGAGGAAGATCAATAATCACCAGAAAACAGTCTGCAGGCGGAGTGGTTAGAGTCTTAATTACTTTGGAAAAAAGCTTATCTTTATGTGTATTCGTTGTGGCGTACAATTTTACGCATTAGCTGTGGTAGTAGATGTTATAGTTTTGTGTAACTGAAATATTACCAGCTATTGTAATGCCAGAACACGATTTTAAGGAAATAGGAATATTTTCTGCCGGCGAGGATTGAGATGAGATGGTGAAAAGCTCTAGGCATATCGTTACTCACAGTTCACCATGAAAGTGGAGAAGATTTGGGCGTGAGTTTCCTTGGCGACATAAGAATTACTCCTATGAGTTTACCAAAAAAAGTGAACTTTTTTAAAGTGAAGAATGGTATTTTAAGATTAGAGTTACGTTGGGAGCTGTTTTTGAATTTTTGTGTTTTTGAAGTGAAAATTTGGAAAATTGTTATAAATAGAATTTTATTTATAGTGAATGTCTATATTTATTTATTATTTGGTGGCTAAGTCACCCTTTCCCTATAAATAGAGGGTTCTATTCCATTATAATTCATCCCAAATCAATAAGAATTCTCTCCCTCTACTTTTCTCTGCAATATTCTTCTTCTTTTATTGTTTTATAACACGTTATCAGCACGAGACTCTAACCAATTGAGTAGAAGCTTTGGGATTGAGCATAATCATTGTCAATTGTTCCATGAACTTCCTTCATGATTAAATTCTGGATTTAAGGTAAGTATTTTACCGTATTTTTCTCTTATATTCTATACTTTGATTTTAAATACAAGCAAAGAAAATAAATTTTGATTATAACTTTATTGGAGTTAGTAAGGAACTATAACCACTCAAAGTGGTAAAATTCTTATGTCTTGCCATGATCAAAGTCATGTATGATCGTGAGCACAAGAAGTGAAAACCAGTCCCATTGAATTTGCTCCATTCTCATTCCCTTAAGAGAATGTGATAGCAGTATGTGATAAGTCTGAAAGAAGACAAAATTATTACTATGAATGTATCAATGGATGTGGACGTGGCAATTGACGAAATTATAATCGTCATCATTGTGGTACTGAGAACAATAAGGATTCTCTAAATAATTCTTCACTTTGTGAAAGTATTATTTGTCATCGATTTGACATGAGATTTTATAAAGCACATATAGATGATTGTGGTCCATTCATGATGTGAATTTGACAACATCTGGTTTACAAATACATATTCATTCTTGGAAGAATATGAACGTGCTAGTGGTAGTGAATATACCACACTCATCTCTAGAAGGAGGTTTGAGATGATATAAGAAAATAATGTCATTATTATGGCATGAATGGTCATTGGTCACGTACCTATTGTACGCCAAAATATTTTGGTAATGTGATTATTAAATAATAACATTAATGCAAGAAACATATCTTGTATATAATTTTGACCATAACTATAATGGTATAACTTTCTCTTTAAAAGAGATATTCACCATATTGATGTTGATGAATATGAGGTAGTACAAAATTAATTGAGAGCTCAAGAAGAGCCAATTATTACTATTTTGGAGAAACACAATTGATTACCAATAAGGTATTGTGTTGTAGTAAGTCTCAAAGAAACTTATTTAGTTTCCAAAGTATACGCGAAAGCGGTTGATTATATTGAGACTATAAATAAAGGAAAGATTTAATATCTTCTATTACTACAACTTGTAGCGGGGTAATATGTATGTGAAAAGCTACCCGCTTTATTCTCCAATTTGTACTACATAAATAAAAGAATACCACAATAAAGTGGATATTTATCGATATAAAAACCCATATCATAATAAACTTGAAGTTTATTGATAATTATTGCACACGTCATGGTGTAAATCTGAAGTTTATCAATATTGATAATTTATCAGTTGGCATAATTGGTTTAGCCATATCAATTTAAGTATAATGTGCAAAAATAATAGAGAATTCACATGGGTAAATATTAAAGAACGAGAAAGTTCTTTATGAATTCTCTTATGTTGCATGTTCTCATTAATCAATAGACCAATTAAAATTGGGATTGAATCCCATGAATGCTGGCAATATCAAAGGTGAATATGGGCCCATTCACCTGCCATGTATACCACATAAGATGCATCTATGAGATGGTTACATGTGCGATTATAATTAACCCGCAACATGGTGTTTGCGAGGTAACTTGCTCAATAATTTGATTTAGAGCATAATTTCCAGATCTTTTACTCAAGAAAGTTTATCTTGATAAGTTGGTTTACATCACAGTTGGTTTAGCAAAATAATTTATTAAGTGTTTCTACTTAATAGCTAAACAATTGCTTATGAGAACAAAGTTATCTATATCAGTTTGATATATGTTATATACGAAAGTATATTACATTCTCCCCTCACAAGTGGTTTCAGGGTCAGGAACCAAATAATTCTATCTCATTATTATTGATGTGCGATGTATATTTTGATTAACACCATAACGCACAAAGGTGGATTCTCAAAGTTGAGGTAACAAGTTAGTTTTTCTAACATGAGGGGGAGACATGATAAACAGTTGAGAAAAAGTTACATGGAATGAATTATCATTTATACATCTAGATCCTCGAATAAAATAATATGAACTTGAAGTTCATAAAAGGATAATTCATCTGCAATATATTGCAAAGCATGCAAGACGCATTTGCTGACCCAAAGAAAGTAACTATATTCTCATTGCAAATGCTCATATTAAGTCCTAGAACGACAAAGTCTATAGTACGCTTAAAGCATATAGACAAATCGGTTTCAAATAAACTTCTTGATAAAGAAGATGAGCAAATGATCATAATAAAGGAGGCAAGTGATCTAGAAGATCACATGACATAACACGTCATAAAATCTCAAGAGAGATTCAGGTACCTGAAAATATGAATGAAGATATCTCTATGTTATGTCTTTATGAAAAAAATATTGAAACTGATATAAAATGTTTGTCGACGACATCTATGATAGCGCTAAATATATATATGAGGATCTTAAGTCTGAAGAAATAATTCAAATAGAATTGGTTTCATATGAAAGCCATGTAGTTTTGAACATGTAGTTCAAACACTTGAACGTATAAGTCAATGGTATGTGCAATCAGTTTTCGATATCTTATATGTCTAGCATGACATGAAAACTTGATATGCATCTAAAGTCTATTATATGGCTTATATAACTTAACAATCCCCGAAGGATTTAAATTGCTTAAAGCATATAGAATTCATGGTCATGAAGTACTACATCCTCAATGCAATTTGTGCACAAATATATCTTGCTATAACTATATACATGATAATATGATAGCAAGAGCTTTCACCTCTATGTGAAGATATTGAACTGTCGATTCCAACAAGATCATATGAAGACAATCCATCTCTATCAAGAATATGATTTCAAGGTGCAATATATTCATTCAAGTTAATATGGCTGATTTGTTTATCAAATATCTACCAAAGATCTTTTGAAGATGGTGCACAAGATTGGAATGCAAATGTTTAAGGATGTGAAATGATGCTCTCATGAGGGGGAGTTAATACGCGTTGTACTCTTTTTCCCTTACAAGGTTTTGTTCCACTGGGTTTTCCTTGCAAGTTTTTTAACGAGGCAACAAAAAGGCGTATTACTAGATATGTGTACTCTTTTTCCTTCTCTAGAATTTTTTTCCCACTGGGTTTTATTTTAGTTAAGGTTTTAACGAGGCACATTATCTGTTGAATAGACATTCAAGGGGGAGTGTTATAAATAGAATTTTATTTATGGTGAATGTCTATATTTAGAGAGATTCTAGGGTTTATTACTTGGTGGCTAAGTCACCCTTTCCCTATAAATAGAGGGTTCTATTCCATTGTAATTCATCCCAAATCAATAAGAATTCTCTCCCTCTACTTTTCTCTGCAATACTCTTCTTCTTCTTTTATTGTTTTATAACAAAAATAGATTTTTGGAGTTTTTTAAATTTTTAAAAAGTTCTGAAACTTAGCTAGCGTTTGGTCATAGATCCCAAATTAATTTTGAAAAATTTGATTTGGGTGAAGTTTGGTTTGAAGATGAAAATGTGTTTGGACATACGTTTTCAAAATATATTTTCCAACTTTATTTTGGAAAAATATGTATATAATTCCCAAATTTTGAGATTGTGGCCCAAAATAAGCTCAATAGATGATTTTGGGATTTGGGATTTGGAATTTGGCCAAAATATATGGCCAAACATGAGTTTTGAAAATAAATTCCAAATTTATTTTGGAAAAACTCATCGACAAACGGGGCCTTAATTTTTAGTGAAATTTAAAATTTTCATGGCCAAATATTTATGTCGAAAAAAATAAAAAAGAAATTCAGAAAAAGTAAAAATAAAAAAAAATTATGGCCAGACGGGCCCTTAATCTTTTATATTTGTGGATTGGACAAGCGTCTCAGCCAAAAACTGCTCTAGTTAGGAGTGTCATGGTTCGGTTTGGATCCATTTTTCCCTAATAAAAAACCAAACCAAGCACGTCGGTTTTTCAAATATTAGAACCAAACCAAACCAATTAAGTCGTTTTTTTCTCGATTCGGTTTATGTCGGATTTTGTCGGATTTTTGATTTTTTTGTTATTTGTCGGTTTTTTCTTAAATATAAGCCATACACTACCAAACATATATTCCGCCGATCACATTTTCAACATAATACTATCAAATCAATTGCCCTTTGAGAAATCTATTATTTACTAAAATATACTGATAATAATTGAATCAAATAGTGATGAATAATTTAAGGACTCAATTAAAAATATATTTTTTAACATGAAATGAATTCTTACACTTAACAAAAGAAAACTACCAATCAAACTAGAATATAAAGGTAAAGAACTGTACTAAAAGTGCAAACGATTAACATTCACTATAAATTTTTTGAAACTTTATATAAAAATATACATATATATAGGTATAATAATAAATTTGAAATAGCTACTCCTATAGTCGGTTTGGTTCGGTTTTTTTGGTTATTTTTTTATTAAAACCAAAATCAAACCAAATTTGATCCGTTTTTAAAATTCAAAATCAAAACCAAACCAAACCAAAAGTATCGGTTTTTTTGGTCGGTTTGGTTTGGTTTTCGGTTTGGTTCGGTTTTTCGGATTTTTATGAACACCCCTAGCTCTAGTAACAAAAATTTTCCCTTCCGGAAAGAGATGAAAAAATAGCTTCTCCTTAGTAAGCATGTACAAAAGCAAAAATTGCTTTTCTATTTAAAGTAGTAAAATTTCATATTTTCCATATTATTCCCACAATATGGACAAAAACTTATCTATTGATCTCATAAACTCCATCTCTCTATTTTGTGATTTTAATTACTATGCTTTATTTAG